GGGGTCAGGCCACCCATGGTGGGGTCTACGGTGGGGTCAGGCCACCCATGGTGGGGTCAGGGCACCCATGGTGGGGTCAGTGGGTCTATGGTGGGGTCAGTCCATCCGTGGTGGGGTTTGTGGTGGTCTATGGTGAGATCAGGAGATCTGTGGTAGGGTCAGCCCATCCGCGGTGGTGTCTATGATGGGGTCAGCCCATCCGTGGTAGGATCCGTGGTCGTCTATGGCAGGGTCAGTAGATCTGTGGTGGGGTCAGCCTGTCTGTGGTGGTGTCTATGGTGGGGTCAGGCCACTCATGGTGGGGTCAGCCCATCCGTGGTGGGGTCTACGGTGGGATCAGTCCACCTGTGATGGGATCTATGGCAGGGTCAGTAGGTTTGTGGTGGACTCAACTGCTTCACGGCAGGGTTGACCCCATCCATGGTGAGGTCAGCCATGATGATGTCTATGGCAGGGTTCGTTAGTCCATGGTGGGGTTGGTCAGTCCATGGTGGTGTCTGTGGTGGGGTTGGTGGATCAGTGGTAGGGTTGATCCCTTCTTGCTGGGGTCGGTGGGTCTGTGGTGGAGTCAGCAGGTCCGTGGTGGGGTCAGACCTTCTGTGACGGGGTCAGTCGGTCCATGGCAGTGTCCATGGTGGGGTCAGTTGGTCTGTAGTGGTGTCTGTGGTGGGCTTGGGGGGTCTGTGGTGGTGTTGATGGTGTTTCCTGGTGGGCTCAACTGGTTCGTGGCGGGGTCAGCAGGTCCGTGGCGGGGTCAATCCTTCCGTGGCAGGTTCAGTGGGTCCGTGGTGGCATTGGCAGGTCCGTGGCGGAGCGAGGAGGGCTCAGTCCTCCCCTATGGTCTCCCGGATCCACGCGAGGTAGTTGTAGACCCGGCTGTAGACCCCCGGCTTTCCCGCCTGCCCGCAGGGGTGGTCACCCCACGAGACGATGCCTTGCAGCTCCCCGTTGCACAGGAGGGGCCCCCCCGAGTCACCCTGGGGAGAAACGGGCTGTGACACGGCCACGTGGCCGGGCAGGGGACGCATGTGGCCGAGGTGGGGGACAGCTCCTGTGGGGCCCCGGAGATGTGGACATGGACGCAACGACGTGGCCACCTTGGGAAGCCTGGTGGGGAGAGTGATGGGGCAGCGGGGGCTGGAGAGATGCGGCCTGGGGACATGGGGGCGTGGGCGTGGGGCATGGG